GAGCGTTAGTATAAATAGCACAAACTGCACTATTTGAGACACTTACCACCATAAGGTGCCTGCTGTCAAAGTCAAACCAGGATAGACAGTCCCACCAATTACACGACCCAGAGGATACCTTGAAAGAAAAGAGTGACACTAATTAACACTAGAAATATAATCCAACAATTAACGAGATGATCAAGAAGGAAAAGTGTTTCAATTCATGCACTGGTTACTTACCAAGTTCGATCATCAAACCAGTTCCAAAAATCATATATCCCATTCTTCGTTAGAAACTGAAACCAACCAATATTCCTGTCATCTTCTGTGAGATTTCATTGCATTGCTATAGATTCTTTTTCCAGAAAACATATGTAGTTCTTTCTTTGTCACACACATACTTGGAACCGGGAAAAAAAAATTATCTTCTGTGCATAAAATCGGACTACAAAAATAATAAGTCACATACGATAAGGATGAATTTAAATTTTTAAACCCACTAATCAGCAACTAAGAAGCTCGGGAGAAAACAACAGCATCAGTTTGAGAGACTAATCAATCATCGCAAGAATATGTGGCCATCGGTGGGAAAAGGTTTCATTTCACAAAAAGCTTACCTGAGTGACTCTATAATTGAAATAAGGATCAAACTCATGAATCACACTCTCGTACTTTATAACCTGTATCAGTACACGAAAGAGGTCAATGTCATGGAATGCTAGACAATGATCAACAAATGAAATACATATATCACCATGGTGCTGCCAGAAAGAATAGGGCAAAATTGTAAAGAGTGTAATGCAGGCAGAGATATGAACTTTATGAGGCCAAATTTTATATAGCAGAATATAATGAGAAGAAGATGGCATTTAGAGCTTATTGATAAAGTGATGTATAAATATCGCCCAGTCAAGTTATACCAAATTTAAGTATGACACCGAGACTCGGGACCATTGTTTCCATTACTTTTTCACCAACCAGAAATGATAATTTTGGCTAACAAAATTTCTGACCTTATGAATAAGCAAAAATATATCAATTGGCCAGCCATTCATGCAGTTCAAATCAGGATCAGAAAAACGCACAAAAGAAAAATGTATTGGGCCAAAATTACATTATCAAATCCATGGACACAGAAAGGTAAAAATTCTTACAGAGAAGAGACGGATCGAAAAGGCGAGAACACCAATCAGGATTAAGATGAAGAACGAAAGGACGCTTCCGAAAGCATTCCGGAAGGAGCTGCCGTTGGAGGCATCGGATGCCGCCATTGACGGCCAAATTGAGCTTTAGGTGAAGAGAGAGTGCGTGCCTCAGAGACTGAGACCCCAGCTACTGAAGTCGTCGTTGTGGAAAGGAAGACTCGAGAGGGGAGGGAAGACTCCAATTTGTGCGTATGCGAAAAGACTATAGCGGATCTGAAATTTGTATGTAATGACGATGATATCATTCAGTTTTCCTGCGTGGCGAATTTTTATTGCGTGGTAACTAGTGGCGTCGGAATTGGTTCAGGAATGCTGTTTTTGCCACGATGCGTCATTCAATTGGAAGTTGGCTCTCCCAGCTCCACGTATGACTAAAAGTGATGTGTCACTTCCATTTTTCTCCTAAAAGATCTTTAGGTTAATATCTTTTTTCTTTCCTCAAGTCAGTGTTTATTTTGGTTTTCGTCTCTCAAATTTTAAATCATAGATTTTGGTCCCTCTAAAAGTAAAATGGTCTAAATTTTTATTGGGTTATAAGGACTAATGTTTTAAATGGAAAAAAATTTTGAGGGATCAAAACTTATGATTTAAAATTTAAGGGACTAAAACCAATTTGAAACCAAACTTGAGGGACCAAAGTTTATATTAACGCATATCTTTATTGATTATAAGGAGTTTTGATTAAGGAATAATTCTAATTATTTAACACATATGATTAAAAAAAAAAATTTAAGGAGATCAACACACATTAGTAATAAATAATAAACTTAACTAATTTTTTTAATTTCTTCAAATTAGGTATCTAACTTTTATATTAAGAACAGATAATAGTACAAGGGTTCAATAAGTAATTTGATTTGGGGATATAGTTAAATGTGTTAAGCCTTTTAAACTATTTTTTTAATTATTTTGTGTAGGGAAACTATCCCTTAATATTAGAAGACAAAATATATTGAGGTTTTATATTTAGAATCAAATCTAACTCTCAACTAGTTTTTATATTAAAAATCATAAGTAATGTTTATCATGAATTGACTTGGCCACTGGCTAGAACTCTTCTATGGAAAATAAAATTAAATCAAATAGGGAGAGACAACAAGTTGAAATTTTTATCCAATTCATATAATTTGGTAGTTTTTTTTAGCACCATTACTTAGGTACCTATAGTTTCCTTCAATTTTTAACTTGATACCTATAAGTTTTTCTCTTAATATTAAATCATTTAATTTTACTTTGTTAGCGCAATTAGTTTTTGTACATGGTCTAATAATACTAATAAAACAAAGTCATAGAGATTAATGGTGTTAAAAAAGTAAAATTAAAAGATTTAATAAAAAAAATACATAGAAATCAAATTAAAAATTGAAGTGTATGCCCAAGTATTCCCAAGACACCCTGAACTTTAAGCTAATCCTTATCAAGTGAAAATATGCTTTAATCGGTGTTGAATCGGCTGTTAAGGTTTCAAATGCTGCCTATGATTATTACAAAACAGTAAATATAATGTCCTTGTGTCATATTACTCCCTTGGCTAATTTAGGATTTCAAAAAGTTTTCCTTCGAAATTAGAATAATAATAATAATAAAAAGGGAAGGGTCAAAAGGGTTTACCACGGAGCAGTTATTGATAAAACTCTAAAGCCCGCAAATCTACCATCATTGGTCAAGAAAAAAAGAAGAAGAAGAATAAAAAAAGAGGGAAGGGTCAAAGGATTGGGCGCAAATAGAAGAGTCCGAAGAAGAAGAAATTGGAGATAGTTTAAAGGAGGTTTTGAATAACAATGAGGTATGTATTTAGTATTCTGGAAATTGTCGCCATGAAAATCGATTTGCCATCCGACAATTCTTCCTTAAAGAGACGTCAGAACAAGGAAGATATTAAGGGGGGAAAGAGCTCATTCCAAGAAACTCCAAAGGTAGACATGGGGGAGAACAAGTGGTCAACCAAACGTCTTCATCGGAATGGAGTGGCCTCATTTGATTGGTTTTGCACCCGGGCTGCACATCACACATGGACAGCAAGCGGGCCTTATTGGTGATGAAGCAATGGACGCTTACAAGATTGGGTCAAGGATACATCCATCATGAGGTTTTTTTCCCCCCAAGATACGCCACATATTTTTTTTTCCCAGGTTCGAGTTAGTTTCCTACAACATAATAAATCAAGATTCAAAATTTTACTAAAAGAGATACTCATATTGACTATTCAAAAGTATTGTGAATAGGATTGTCTCTTATAAGAAGATACATGTGTCTAAAAAAAACACCCTAAAATATTTTGGGATGCATTCAACAACTTGAAATATTTCTTTCAAGTACGTCCAGCATCTTAAAGTATTTTTTAATACATCCAGCATCATGGAGTATTTTTTTAGATGCACCCAACATCTTAAAATATTTTTTTATGCAAGGTTGATGGACGCATCTGAAAAATATCTCATGATACTTGCAAAATACTTTAAGGTATTAAATACACTCAAAAAAATATTTCAAACTATTAAATACATCTTAACCCTATAAGATTTAATTGACTTAGCATTTTCGTATGTAAAAAAATTGTATGGTATCAAATGCACATTTACATATGCTTTATAAGCATATTTGCATAATTCAACCTTTTATAAATTTACATCTTTTCTCAATCCATACCTAACCAAATGGGCGGAAAAGTCCCTCCCATATAGCATGGGGACGGAAACCAAGGCCTGCCCAACTACTTATGCATGATGAAAAAACGACTCAAAAACTAAACTTAATTATTTGTTGTACACGTAAGTATCATTTTGTACGGGAACATAAATAATTGAGGCTGATATTTACACTTATGAAATAAATTTGCATGAACTTCTTGAATGACAAGTCCAATGTAAATAAGACATTGAATTTGAGAAAGATGCTGAAAAGACAGACCAATTTGGTCTGGAATCTGGATCATTTCAAAGCTTCATAACATATACTAGTATTTACTTTTTCTCTAAATTTGTGAGAATCATTTTTCCCAACATTCACATCAATCAGTCACTTCAATAAAACTAAATGCAGATCAATTATCATGTAAAAAAAATTAGAAATTCGTTTTTTTTTCCATGCATGAACTGAGAGAAAAGGTAAAGTATTAAAATCTAATGAAAAATGTTTAGATCAAGTTCTTTATAGACATTATATCCTTCAATCACACTAACCATATATCCTAATTTTAAATTATTATCATTTAATTATGTAAACCCATATATAAAAAATAAAATATATAACTATATGTGATTGGAAAACTTTATATAATAAATATGAAGAACTTGATATAAGTATGATTCAAGTCTAATCTTAGTTACTTGGTTAAATTTGTGAATCTTAATCTCTTTGCTGATCCACTCAAGAGTTTTAAACTTGCTAAATCTGAAATGAAGATGTTTTAAGTTTAAGAAAAAGTTTTTTCTTAAAAAAAAAAGAAGCAATCTATTATATTTGTATTTTAATAACTATGATTTGTTCAATTATGTGTAGATTATATATGCTTATTCTATTTACTTATGAATTGACATCTTTTTTATTTAAAATATTACTTTTTAGGGGTTATATATAAATATTTTCTCTATATTAATCATGCATTTAGTTGATGCCAATTCAATTATGTTTAAACTATATACGTTTACACTAGAATCTTGGCTGATTTAATGACCGATTCAACTTCAGTGTATTGATTTCATGAGCAGCAAATATTTGATACCCATAAAATCCTATTGCCGATGATTGAAAAAAAAAATTTCAAGTTAATTGTGAACAATATTGCTAATTTGAATTTTATTGTGAAACATGAGAAACAATCATGTTACAAAGCTGAAGAATACCCAGCACTGATTCCTGAAGTATCAGAATGGGTTATGTTTTCAGAATTACCTTCATCATCATCATCATGAAAATCTCCAGAAAATATGACTGTTTCACGAGTGTTCATTCCTCCATGTCTGGTTCTTATTTCCTTCCTAAAGCCAAAACCTGAACCATTACCACAAGGCCCTGTTTCATCATCATTAACTTCAGGTGGAACTCCATTTTCATCATGGAAACTGTAGAATCTCTCTGTTTCATCCTTCTCATGATCTTCTTGCACCTTCTGATTTGACCCGCTTCTTAGTTTTTCCTCATCAGTTCTATCATTTTCAGATTCTGCTGCAAAATTTGCTTCTCCTGAGTCGGGAATAGGGATCTGCTTCGACCATGACGATGATGGATTCACTTTACGCCCCAACAATACAATTCCAAATTCCTCAATAATTGTGATTTCCCCACCAAATCTTTCTGTTCTATTAGCTCTTCTTGATTGATTAATCTGATATAGCAACCACGCACAAACGAGTAGAAGCAACATCATCTGCAGAGTCTGCTTCATGCAAGCCCTCTTAGATCTCTGGTTCCTAAAATCGCAGTCCATTCTATTCTCTGCAACTTCAAAACTAAATTTATCGTGAGCAATCAAATAGAGATTCTCTAAAAGGAAGAAGAATTCAAAAACAAACGGCAGGGAAATCTAGAATCATTCGACTGATTTCCAACATTTTCTGGGCAACCAAACAAGAATTAGCAACTAGTGTGCTTGCTAAGGAATCCCTCAAGTACGAGTATCATACTATTATAGTAACTAAGAAGCATTTTCAAGATCAGTCGGTTGAACAACGGTTTCCCGAGATTTTCTCGACAACCAGAGAGAGGACAAGAGAGAATTAGTTTTTGAATTACAAGAAACAAACGAGGCCGAAGATCAAGAAAAGCCCAATTCGTGAAAAGATACCTGCTTTTCTTCGGTGAGAGGATAATCTCCTTCTGAATACGCTCGTTGTGTGCTTTGAAAGTCGTTCAACAGAACGTGTGGATTCAAATTGAATGCCTTGGAAGAATAGGAGAGCCATGAAGCATGCTCAAACGTAGCGGTTACACTTTCGTTTGTAATCTCTAAAATACCCCCCAGACCCAGAACCTCCAAAAATTCTTAGTGAGGAAGATGCTAGGTAACAAGTAGACTAGTTATTACTTATTAGTTATTAGATCAATCAAGATTCCAGATAGAGTGGTTCATGAATGAGGGGTCTGACAATTACTGAACCGGTCCGAATTATGATTAAAACAATATAATCTAATAAAAGTATCTAAAAGGATTCAGAGCTAACACTTAAAAACCAAAATGAAATATTTAAATGAAAAATGTATTAATTCACTTCTTCTCTTCTTAATATAAGACTTATTTAACGATACAATCTGTACTATAAAATAGGTTTTATGTTAAAAATCGAAAGAAGTAGAACATTCATGTATAAACCACATAATCCAATAAAACAAAATTACTGAAGTACAAATATGATATATTGCTTCTTTTTTTTTAATTTTTAACTCAAAACGATGTTGTTTCAGATTCATTGGAGAAGAGAGAAAAATATAAAATCCAACTCAGTCAACCTGTCTGAAAATCTTGACCAAACTAATCAGGAGATTATCAATTCACTGATTTACTGGTCTGATCAACCGATTTAAGTTGCATTTAATGGTAATGTGAGGAAACTCAAGAGGGTAATTTGGGAATTAAGGTATTGCGTTCCCCATCAGCCGTTGGCTAGTTAACGTTTTACCATTCTTCATGGGGCGTCGCAGGTCAAAACGCGGGTTTGTGTGAGTCAACCACCCCTTTTTGTTGTCAAGATGTTTAATTGTGAAATGGAAAACAAACACGGACGCGTGGAATAAGGTTATACTACCTCTTGTCCTTCTAATAATGATAGTTTCTAACCAATACTTGTTTAGCAAGGATATTTTAGGAAAGACAACACTTATTTATTACAAATAACTAACTTAGCTTCTTTCCTTAATCTCCTCAAATTAATCAACCAGCTTTTATAATTAGAACCGGAGGTAGTATACTTTTATATATTACCTCTGGTATTAATATAAGAGCTAGTTGACTAATTTGAGTAGATTAAATAAATTAGTTAAATTAGTTATTTACTCCTCCGGTCCTTAATATAGGACTTAATTGTTGAGCTGGTTTCAGTTCTAAATATAAGACCTATTTCTCATATTTATCAATTTTCGCTAAATTACCTCTATGGATACTCCTTCAACCATAATCAAGTAGAAGAAGGAGATGGGGTATTAAGAAAAATGATTATGGTGTTTTAGAAAAAATATGTCACATTTCTTATAATTAAGTAACTTATTTAACTTCCTTAATCTAATCAAATTAGTTAAATAGGTTTTATATTAAGGATCAGAGGAGTATAATAAATAAGTTTTGTCTTTCCTAAAATATCCTTGCTAATCAAGTGCTTTAAATAAAGACAAAGGGGCACACGTGGATTCCAGTGAATGATCAAATGCTAATGAGTTATAGACTAAGAGAGAGTTTAGAAATTTCAAAAAGTAATAAGATAAAATTCTTTTTATATACTTGATTTGTTATGAAATCACTTTCAAATTAACCAAAACACCCATCATTAGTGACGCTGGTGGTGGCCCGATGATGCGAGACTAAACAACTAAGCACTAGGATTGGGCTCGCTATACGTTATGGGCTCCTATTGGGAAAACGTGTTATGGGCATGGGTCTGTTTAAAAACCTTTGACCTTAAAAGCTTATCAAAGAGACCAACAGGGATTAGGTCTAACAGAAAGCACTAGTTTTTCATAACATGACAAACTAATATTCAAATTTCAGCTGAGAGAGGTGTCCACATTTAGTGCCTGAAAGTGCATCAAATAGAATTACTTCTAATAGGAGGATACTTATGTGTTTAACAAACCAAAAAAAAAGAAGAAAAAAGCTTATCAAAGAGGAATATTTTTACCCATCCATGGTATATGATGAACTAAGATTCAAATATCTATTAAAAAAGGTATCCATATTTAGTATCTAAAAGTATCTCAGACAAATTATCTCTAATAATAAGATACATGTATTTACCAAAAAAAAATATTTTTACTCATGCTATATGAATTCTTTTTTTTTTTTCCTGTCAGAGTTGTATGAATTCAAATGCAAAATTTTTAACCTTTTAGACTCAAACATTATTATCAAACTCACAAGTTAACTCTCCAAGTTTAACGTTTTTATGTTTTTAGCAAACAAAATCGTGTTAATTCACTCTTAAACTCGTGATAACTGTAAACTCAGTTAAACTTACGAGTTCATTTACTAAGTTTACTGTTTTTGCGTTTTAAGCTTACAAAATCATGTCAACTTGCTCTTAAACTCATGCTAAATTTTTGGATTTGATTATGTTTAGTAACTTTATATATGAATTTTATAGAAATTTTTTTGTTGAATGCGATAAATTATGATCATTAATGGATATAATTATGATTATTTAAATTTAAAATATATTTAAATGAAATTGTTCTCATTTTTTATATATTAATTATTTGATTATATAATTTTAATACCAATTTATTAATAAAAGTAAACTCTTACGAGTTTACGATCCGAGTTTATCTCATTCTCATGAGTTTGTTTAAACTCGTGAGTTTGATAACCTTGGACTCAAACAAAAATTAAAAAGAAAAAAGAAAAAATGACCAGAAAAAAAAAGAAGCTGAAAATTAATAAATCTTAAATCAAATTTGATAATAATACTTTATTTGGTATTGACAATATTGAATTTGTAAATGACAATAAATTTTTGTTGACATTTTTTATTTGATATTTTGTAATTTTCAACTCTTTTTTTGTTATTTTCCCATAAAAGAATTTGTTAAAAAATTATTTTAGTTCATAATAAAATCTCAATTTCAACAAACAAATAAGAGTTGAATTTAGCAAGAATTGCTAATCTCTCACAATGTGACAAACCTTGTGGAGTATAATCAAATTAGTTAAATAGGTCTTATATTAAGGACCGAAGGAGTATAATAAATAAGTTTTGTCTTTCCTAAAATATCCTTGCTAATCAAGTGCTTTAAGTAAAGACAAAGGGGCACACGTGGATTCCAGTGAATGATCAAATGCTAATGAGTTATAGACTAAGAGAGTTTAGAAATTTCAAAAAGTAATAAGATAAAATTCTTTATATACTTGATTAGTTATGAAATCACTTTCAAATTAATCAAAACACCCATCATTAGTGACGCTGGTGGTGGCCCGATGATACCAGACTAAACAACTAAGCACTAGGATTGGGCTCGCCATACGTTATGGGCTCCTATTGGGAAACGTGTTATGGGCATGGGTCTGTTTAAAAACCTTTGACCTTAAAAGCTTATCAAAGAGACCAACAGGATTAGGTCTAACAGAAGGAGCTAATCTCTCATAATATGACAAACTAAGGTTCAAATTTCAGTTGAGAGAAGTGTCCACATTTAGTGTCTAAAAGTGTTTTAAATAGAATTGCCTCCAATAGGAAGATACCTGTGTTTTAACAACAAAAAAAACACTTATCAGAGAGGAATATTTTAACCCATCCATGGTATATGATGAACTAAGATTCAAATCTCTATTAGAAAAAGTATCCACATTTAGTATCCAAAAGTACCTCAAACAGATTGCTTCTAATAATAAGATACCTATATTCACCAAAAAATTTTTTTTTACTTGTGCTGTATGAATTCTTTTTTTTTTTTTTGTCAGAGCTGTATGAATTCAAATACAAAATTTTTAACCTTTTAGACTCAAACAAAAATTAAAAAGAAAAAAGAAAAAAGACAAAAAAAAAGAAGCTGAAAATTACTAAATCTTAAATCAGGTTTGATAATAATACTTTATTTGGTGTTGACAACATTGAATTTGCAAACGACAACAAATTTTGTTAACATTCCTTATTTGATATTTCATAATTTACAACTCTTTTTTTGTTATTTTCCCCTAAAAAAACTTTGTTAAAAAATTATTTTAGTTCATAATAAAATCTCAATTTCAACAAACAAATAAGAGTTGGATTTAGCAAGAATTGCTAATCTCTCACAATGTGACAAACCAAAGTTCAAACCTCCACTAAGAGAGGACCTCTTTGAGATGTGTCCATATTTAATCACTGACAATATCTTAAGCAAGAAAATACCTGTGCATGACAACAAAAAAAACCAATTTCAATAAAATCATTCTTTTGCAGATTTTTTTTTTTTAAGAAAAGCTGCATTAACTATTAGATTGGTGATCCTATTGTACCGCTAAACAAAATCATTCTATTATACATTAAATTTACCAGTCACTTTAGCGGCAAGGTGTTATTGGTCAAAATTTGAAAGCTATTTAAACTTTGAAAATGAGAGGGTTAAATGCAACTGAGGTAAAGTTAGGAGGGTTTTTATATATTTTGGCTTGATTTAAAACACACAACTTTAGCTCATTAACATCTCATACTAGCGTTATGTGCGGAATAGACGAAAGCAATCTTTTGAAAACAAGCTCATTATCCCATTAAGTGACATCAACATGGTTAACAAGTTGACCATTTTCGAAAGGTGTTAGGAGTGAACATTACATGTTAAGTGGAGCAATTAACTCGTTCTAGAAGTTCGTTAAAATGCTAAAAACAAAGAGTTTATGTGTTAATTGAAAGTTGAGAGAATCTTTTTTTTAAAAAAAAGCTTAAAATTACTCAAACTCAAATAAAAAATTCTGAAAAAATTATGTTGTTATTTGCAAATCAAGTGTTGTCAAATCCAATTAAAGTGTGAAAACTAAACCTAATTTAACATTTAGTAATTTTGGGCTTGTTTGGTTTCTTATTTTGGAAACAACTTTTTATTTTTAAAAACAGAAAAACAAAAAACTTTGTTTGGTAATTTGTTTTGAGTTGATTGTTTTAAAAAACAAAAAATAGTAACATG